TTTGTAAAAATTCAGTTAACCGACCGAACAATTCGGTTCGGTCAAACTTCGGTTTTAGGAACTTAATCTGCCAGTTCGGTTTCTAAAATTTAACAATTCGATTTATTCGGTTTTCATAGTTCGGTTCGATCGGGCGACCGAACCGGCCGATGAACACTACTCGAGCTCGGCTAGTGGTGTTAGACGGGTTCGTGTGGGGCTGGTGTGGGGGCTGGTAGTTTTTGTCTAAGTTGGAGACGGGTCGATTTGGGGATTGGTTTGGGGCTCGGTTTTGGCTATTGTATAGGCGGTTGTGCAATTTCGGTAGCGGTTTTTTGGGCTTGGAATCTTTCTTGTGACGATTGTTCACTGCTGGTCGAGAGTTCGAGAGTTCGTATGCAGGGGAATGGTTATGTTTGTTTTTTTAGTTATTTTGTTGTTCTTTTTTTGTGTCGCATGTGTCTGTGTTGTGTTTGTATTTTTGTTTTAGATTTGGGCCGTTGGCCTCGGTTAGCTCGAGTGTAACCTTATTATCATGTTGTTTCTTTTAATGTCGTCGTGTTTTTTTGTGTTTCTAGAGTATTACCCTGTTGGGGTCGGTTCTAGGTAGTTTTTTGACCTCTCCTCCCAGTCTATCCAGCCGTTGGTTGTTTATATTCAGTTGTTGGCTGTTTGTTTTATGCTAGTGGCTGTAGTTTTGCACATTTGTGCGCTTTTATATAATATCTCTATCATTTCGAACAAAAAAAAATAAAACAATTTTTTTTTTTTGTTTTGTTATTTACAAATCTTCTCTGGAATATTTTGCAACTACCCCAAACTCCAGAGCTAGTTTTCTAACCATCCATAGTTTTTACCTGCAGATTTATTGCTTGATATTTTGCATCATGCTTATTGTTGCTTGTGTATTTTGGATGGTTTAGGTCTTAAAAGAGTTCATATATCTCACAGGAAATACATGCCACACTATCTCCTAAGACAAGCACTCGAACTGATGCTGCTTCTAAATTTAACAGATTGGTGAGCAGAATTTGGCATTCGGGCTGAAATTCAATGCAAAAGGCACGATTGATTGTTTTGAGAAAGATCTCGAGACTCTTCCCTCTGGTCAAAAGCGCGATATTGAGTTCAAGATGGTTGAGGGCGACTTCCAACTCTTTGAAGGAGTATGGTCTATTGAACAGGTCTAGTGTTTTAATCTTGTTCCTCCTATTATTGTCTCATTTCATTAGAAATAATGATTAATTATGAAAATTATCCCTAAGGTCTGGCCTAATTACATGAAAAGAGAAAAATAATTATTTTTGAAAATTACAAACAACCTCTTACCCTGTGTTTGTAGTTGTTTACATAGTCAACTTTCAAAGGGGTTTCCATGTCCAGTTTCCTATAGAATAAACTTTGAGATTTTATTTGGATGGGCAGTTTTGAAATAGTCCTCTAGGTTTATAAATTTTAATAACTATTACTTTGAAAAAGTTACATGGTAAGCTCCACTTTCAAAACTTTAATTTGAAGTATTGTAAAATGTTTATGTGATGGTAGATTGTGGGTCCCATGATTATTTTTTTGATATGAACGAATATCAAAATTGACGATTTCTAAACAAAAAGTTAAAGACAAACACACTTTCAAAATCTTTTATGAATTTGTTGGAAATAGAAATGTGACGCCATAAGTTTCTGTACAAAAAGATGAGGATTAAGTATAGTTAATCACCGGCCGAGACAGTTTCTTTGAGTTTCGTGCTATGATCTCTTTAGCTGTGATGACCCATTTTGTGATTTACAGAATGACTCAGGACTTGAAACGACCCTTGTGTATATTGTTAATGTGAAACCAAAAGTGTGGTTGCCTGTGCGCCTGGTTGAAGGTAGACTCTCAAAGGAGATAAGATCAAACCTCTCGTGCATACGTGTAGAAGCCGAGAAAGCATTCCGGAATACACATTCTGGATTGTAGCAGGTCGACCCTTTTCATTTGCCTCAAGGTTAAAGTGAAAAAGAAAAACACTTGAGTGTAATGTATATGAAGAAAGAGTTCATTAGATAAATTTAACTATTCTACTGCAAATATATTTATATAGATTTAACTATTCTGCTGCAAAATTGTACTCTATTGATTCTTGAATTTACACTACTCCGACAAATATAAGGGTATGAATAGTGGCAAATAGGTTTTTGTAGTCCATATTGTCAATGATGATAACCATGAACCACACAACATCATACATGTTACTTTACTAAGTTATCTTGGTAATTCAAAATACACTTGATATTTTTTTTTTCTTTTTTCTGAAAATAGTTGAAGGATTCAGTAAGTGGAGACACTATGCATGCCTTGGATATCAAATTGTTCACCAGTTGGCTCCATTAATTTGCTGCAGTAAGCTCTATCCATGCTTACTTTATTCCTTTTTTTTTTTCTTAATATTTACTATAAGAAAATTAGGCTCTTTCTTTGTTCAGCTGGCTAAGAGGAGTTTGCCAATTTGGCGGTTTTTCTTTTCAACTATTTTATCAGAAAATCGCAGCACGTATAGTCACCAGAGCTTGTTATGTTAACCCGTCTCGTTTAAGTGCTCACTTGTTACGTCCCATCTTGGTTTGAAATAAGAGAAGGTAAGAATAAACATTTTCTGTCAGACATTGGCGCTTCCAAATTTGTCTCAATCTGTAATATTGGATCATTTCTGTTTACTGGATAGAATGTGATAACTGCACTTATCAAGACATAATTATGGGTTTCGTTGCAGTGGTAGCTGCCCGTGTGATGTCAGTCGCGATAAAATGAGATATAATCCCATGAGTGGTTGATAACTTGTTCGGACAAGTTTGGGTTGATAACTTGTAGCAAGGTGGAATTTCACAATTACATTACAAGTATCGGTTTTGTTATAGAGTCATCGAATGACTCAGATTATGGAGCAATCCATAGTTATCCACAAATGGTGTATTTACACGTGTCTTAATTGGACATGTGTCAATACATAAAGTTATGGATGACTTCACAAGGGATTCATCTGATGGCTCTATAGAATTTTTGCAACACGTCCACTCATTTTTATCTTTCTTCTTTTTTAACCAAAATTCCTTACGGCGCTTTGGATAAAAGTTGCAGATGTCCCAAAATTTTATTTATTTTTATTTTTTTACAGAAGCCCCAAAAAAATTCTTCAATGAATAACATATGTGGTCTAGACCCCTATTTTGTTTCGCTGATCATGTTTAAACTGAAGAATTGAAAAAAAAAAGAAAAAAAAAAGAAAGAAAAAAGGACGCATGTTTAAATTGGAAACTCTTTCCATGTCCATGAAGTTTCGAAAAATCCAAACATTAGATAGAGGTAGGAATTTTCCGAACGAACTATACTTCATATATGCTGTGTTGGCTCTCTTTACATCTGAATCAACGAAAGAACTCATTCTCCCAACTTAAATTATTGTGGAAGTTAGATAATTAACTTCGGATTCATGGTTTCATGTTTCTGGCTGAATTTTGAGTCCTCAAAATGGTTCACCTCGGTTGGCTTGGAATTTTCTTCTCATGAACAATTGCCTCGTTATAGTATCTGCCTCAATTTGGGATGAGAAGAACTCAGACCGATTATGTGAAAAGAGTGCAAAATGAGCTCTATGAATTTTTATCTAGAAGCTATCCGACCCAATAACTCATAATACAAACTAGTAAGCAACCCGTGAGATACACGAAATAGAGATGTTAAAATTCTCATGAATAAGTCTGTCAAATTAGGCCTCCGAAACAATAAAGTAAGCTAGCTTATAGCTTATTTGGTTAGCTTATAAGTTTAAGCTCCGTTTATTCAAATAAGTCTCGTTTGGTAGGACGAACGTTCTTAAAAAGTTCGAGCTTATTTGATAAACTTCTTTAGGTAGCTTTTCAAATAAGCTAGTTGAATCTTTTATTCAAGCTAACTTATCAGCTAATTTTACCAAGCACTTTTATCATATAAGCTACCTTTTCAGCTATAAGTCATAAGCTATAAGATAAAAAATTACTGATAAGCTATAAGCTAGCTTATCAGCTAGTTTTACCAAACATAGTCTAAAGATAAATATTAAGATATATACATTATTGTGAAAGTATTTGCATATGTATGAAAATATGCAACATAATTAGGGGAATATTAGCTAATTAGATAGTGACATAAAAATTTAAAATAGTATAATTCCCACCTCTTTTATGTCAGTTATGGGAAAAATTGTAATAAAATAAAGCAATGATATTTTCTCACATAGTAAGCACTACAACTAAGTTGCACGTAGAATTTGGTATGCGAAAAATAAGGATCAAAATTTGAATTCAATAAAGGTTGTACGGTAATTCTGAGGGAGGATCTTTGTTGTGATTTTGCCGGTGGAGCATTTTTTACAGACGTGTGCAAGATAAAAGAATGCATGGAAGAGGTGAGACAATCAACATAATCGATCGCAAATATATACTATATGTTTTGATATATTCATTGAAATATTATTTATTTATTTTATTTTTTTATGTCTGTTGTGTTATTTTGTGTTGGTGACTTTTTTTTTCTTGTTTTTTTTTTTTTTTTTTAATGTGTGTTGGTAATTGTCCACGACATTCTACTGAACGGGAATCACATTGTAATGTAGCTTCATTGATGTATGGTAAACTTGATGAGAGAATATGATGTAGTGAAAGCGTGAACGAATGAGAAAAATACGAGTAAACGAGATACTATCTCGTAAAACATGTAAAACGAGATACTCTCTCGATAAAACTCACAATCAATTCATAGTTTTATTCAAAATCAACTTCAGATAACAAAAGATGAGAGTCCTTTATATAAGGCTCATAAACTCTATTCCTAACTTGTCCAACAAGACAAGATCTTATAATAATATCTAAAACCTAACTTATTCTCCAAGATAACTAATAATAATTAATAATAATATAATAATAATAATAATAATAGGAATAATAATACTAATATTATTCTACACCATTCTCCCCGGTTCGGAAGGCTTCGCCCTCGAATCCGATGCGCTCCCGCGGTCGGCGTGTGGTGACGAACTCATGGTAGCAAACCCTGTCTTTTTTCCCGGTCGAACACGAAGGTTGAATATCGCTCAACTTCACGTAACGAATGGAGGATCAAATTTTTAGCTTTATAAGACATTTTTGGTTCTTCAGGGAACTTCAAACATGGTCTCCAATTTATTATCTTGCGACATGCCAATGAACGATGATTGCGTTTCCACTGTTGTAGCGCAGTTTCTGTGCCCAAATGCCCGTGGTGCTCATTTTTAGAATACGGAACAATAAAATCAGCAACCTCTAGTAACATGAATGAATATTTTTCCAATGGCTTACATAAGCCAAAATCAGAAAGCGTCACCTCGGGCCCTAGAGGCTCTTCATCGAAAATAGGCGGACCGTCGTAGAGACCGTCCACTTCGCCGGTAAGACGCTCCTCGACCTCTTCGGGCCCTTCATCAAGCACAGGCAGACCATCGTACAATGGCTCGTCAACATGCTATCGTCGAATTCAGGGATGTCGACGCGAAACGGGCCCTCCCAATGACCATATTTGCGAACAAGTCTTCAATCCCGTCGGGCACGATATCCGCCAGCGAAGGCTGCCTCCTCGCTCCAGCCCATGTCGCTGCGTTGATCTTCGCCGTCCACGAAGCCGTTCAGAGGTGGCAGGGACCACTGCCGGGGAGCCCCGACATGGCTGCGTTCCCCACGTCTGCCTCTGTCTACCCCACGATTGCCACGACCCACAGCCCCATCGCGGTTCGTCTGCAATTCCAAAACAATCATGTTGTTAAGCGTCAAACCCAAATCCCCGATCCCCGTCGAAAGATCGGCAAACCAATCTGTGAAACCCACGTCCAATTGTTCAAATCCGTGGTCGATCTGTTGCAACCGATCGTTGAAGGTTGCATCACGTTGTTTGTTTGCGACTTCTTCTCGCCCCGACGACATTGCGAATCGTACTTACTGCTGATACCAACTGATGTAAATAAAGCGTGAACGAATGGAAAAAATACGAGTAAACGAGATACTTTCTCGATAAAACTCACAATCAATTCATATTTTTATTCAAAATCAACTTCAGATAACAAAAGAGGGGAGTCCTTTATATAAGGCTCATAAACTCTATTTCTAACTTGTCCAACAAGACAAGATCTTATAATAATATCTAAAACCTAACTTATTCTCCAAGATAACTAATAATAAATAATAATAATACTAATATTATTCTACACCAGAATACAAGAACTATAATTTACTCGGATGAATTTTATGGCATTTGTGAGACGGTTGCCGGCGAGATGGTGGAGAACGCAACATGTACATAAAATAAACAAAATATAAACTAGGAAGATTATTTTTTTTTTACCATGTAATACATATTTTTATATGCCTTGATTGTATAATTATTTACCATGTAATACATTTTTTTTAATTAGTGCATGAATCCCACCCGTTACAGGATTCCTGGCATGGTAAGTCTTTATTTGTTGGCCCGTTTCTGCTATATAGTGCATATATAATATATATTACATATCAAAACTCAGTATACAATTTTCAGCTATCAGGTGTTTTGGTTCCACAAGATTGTAGTTATCATGAGTTGTGTCGTATATTATTTGAGCTATAACTCCATTGATGATTGGGGATGTTAGAATATCACTTGTGAGTTGTCCCACACTGTTCATACATGGAAAACAGACCTACCTTATAAGTCTAATGGGCTACTACTCCTTCCACCAGTTGGTTTTGGGATGGAACCCACTTGGGCTTCATATGGGTTTTCCCGCTTCTGGTGCGCTTCATGTTAGTAAGACCGCACCCGTTCTCCCCCAGTTTCTTACATGGTATCAGAGCCAGTTCTATTGGGACCATGCGACGACGTACTCATTTTCTCCCACGTACCTGTTTATGAGAGTCTGCTTCTAGTAGGCTTGGGGC